CAACAATCCATGTGGAACAGCTGATCTTTCTTCTAAATTTAAAATACATGAGTCCTATGATATTTACATAAAAAGGTAGCAGTACGAAGCAAAATTTTGACCCAGTATAACTGTATTGCCCTTTAGACATCGATGGTAGACTTAGCGTTAGCTAATAAATCTGAGACTAAAATAAATTTGTCAGTGAATAGCATTCCCAAAATAGAATTTAAAAGAATGAAATTAATTAACTTAAATAATAATGCAAACTAACTAAAAAGATGATAAATCATCATAATAACTTCATAAGTCTATAAATCATAATCACAACTAAAAATGAGAGTGAATTTGAAGCACCTTATTCTATCATGCTTAAAGAAAATAATTTACTCATGCATAAATCAAAATAATATACTTACTAACTGAAACCATTGAAATTTTAAAAACACATATTAATCAAAATTTGGAATTTGTGAGAACTCAATAGAACCAATAACAAATGTGGACACACAGTCCACAAGGATAAATAACCAAATACGGCTTACGCCACAATGACAAACATGGACACACAGTCCACAAGGGCAAGTAACCAAATGCAGCCGAAGCCACGAAACAAACATGGACACACAGTCTATGAGAAAAATATTAACCAAACACGACTCAATGCCACAAAATCAAATGCAGGTATAAAGCTCATGAATAACAAATGTGAGAACAAAGCTCACAAGGCAAACTACCTAGTTTTTAGCCACAATGTGCTATGGGCTAACGAAACTGCTGTTAGTAGCAGTATTCTGTTAAAGTCCTCTAAAAATCATGTTTCAAACATACAAGAAAAATAATCACTTCTAAAATAAAATTTACATTTTCAATACCCAACTTGCATGGATCATTTCACATTCCAATGTAATACTTGTCAAAATTAATATTTTATAAATAATGTACAAGCTTGCATTGATTAAATAACCAAGAATTTCTAGAGTTTAATAAACAAAATAATTTCATAAATGTTGGAATTATATTTCTTGAGGAAATAAATGCACATATCATCATCTATTTACCCATCATCAATGTTCCATAATTTTTCAAAACTCATGTAAAAGTAAAATATTTTAGTAAAAGTTTATTAAAAATAAATTAAAAGGGATGCTATTCCGTTACATGTCAAAGCTCCAATTTTCCATAATATGCTGTCTTCAATTTCTGCCAAAATTCTCTTCTTCCACACATCTTATAAAGATATAATAAATGAAGTTTTAATATATTTTTAATCTTTAAAACAGTTCCAAATTAACCATCACTATCTAAAATTCAAAACCAAATTGATGATTTAAAGTTAGTCCATGCATTATTATTCATCCTTGTAACTTCCTCCATAAAGCTTTAGCTATGCCATTCTATTTTCTTCTTACAAGCATTTCAACAAGCATCTCATAGGTGCCAATATTTAAGTTATATATCTAAGATACTCTCTTCCAATCTTTCCTTAATAATTTCTTTAACATGATTCAATCTAAATAAGATCTATTTAGCTCCAAAATCACACACACACACACACACACACTCAAGCTTTAAAATAGGTTTCTATCTTAAATTTGAGTCTTCACCCTCCTACAACAGCACAGCGGCAGCAACACAGAGGGCATAAATTTTACAACTTCAATAAACCAATCACATATATGCAGACTAAGAGAAAAATGAAACAATGGAGATCTCTCACCTTATCCGTACCAATGACTGAGTAAAAAAAAGACAGAGGAGATGTTAGAGTTTATGGCTGAATAGGGGATAGGAAAAACAGCACTATCACCATGCACAACAAAGGAAATAAGACTAGTGCAACAACACCAACACAAACTCACAACAACAGCCCCTCAGTTATGATGCTTTATGACTTCTAAATTAATTTTAAGGGCTTTTATTTAATATATATAGCAGGCTGATCCTTAATAATATGGGTCCATAGTTTAGTTGAGTTAAGCCGAGTTAATAATAGAGGTCATTACATTTCCAACCTATGCCATACTTGTTAATTAATTAAATGACAATACCAAGTATATGTATTTAATAGTTATGCCAACCTCTATGCACAAACTCTATGGAAGCAACTCCATGTGGATTTTCAATAATACCCTCTTACTAACTCTAAAGTGAACTCCCACCCATCCATGAACTTGCAGGTTCAATGTACATATGCATAAGCATACTCATATCCATATCTAAATAATTCAATAATTCATGAACTTGCATGCATTAATCATCACATATTCAATACATATTCAATTCAAACTCTTCAACTCATATTCATATTTTATATGCCTCTTACTCACAACAATAAATCACTTCAACACAAAAGGAGCAAGTTTCACAACTCAGAATATCAATCTATCAAGGCAAAATAATCATACTCATGCTTCTATCACAAATTCCATGCCATCAACATCAATATAAAATCACAATTTGCAAACACAACTTGATACTAAAATTAATTTCTAGTTACCTCTACTTTAAGCTACCACCCCAAGAGTATAAATTAGATTCCCAATAGAGCTTCCTACCAACACAAGCTTTGAAAACAATCACTCTACAATCAATGACCAATAATCAGCATTAATGACTAATCATTATTGACTATCCTTAATCATGATTAAGGCCTGTTACCCTCATTTAATGTGATTAAACAAAACTAACCCCAAAACGCACTTATTCCATAAGCTTATGCAACCTTCATTAAGCTTAATGAGCACTAATAACCAACCATATTAGTTTAAACTTAATTACATAGCATTGGGGTTAATCTTAAATCCCTCATTAATGGCATTAAATGTTGCCAACAACCAACACTCATGATGAGGAACTTAAACAACCCTTGTTAGACTCCAATGAAGTCATTAAAATGGGTAGGATTCATCTAAGAATTTGGACAGTAGCCCCATACTCCAAAAACTCAGAAGTAAACGCATAAGAAGAATAATGGATGAGGAAATGAGACTTGCCTAAGGCGTAGCAAGCCCAAAATAACCTCCAAAGACCCCAAAACACAAACCCTTCTAGAGCTCAAGTCCTCTCCTTGAACTTTCTCCAATTCTCTCTTTCTTTCTACTCAAAATGCATATCTATGAATTTAAATTTTTGAAGCATTTGTTGTGGCCAATGACACTGTCTACTGCAATAGATGATGCATTTTGTGACTCTATTAATTTGGACCCAAAGTGGCCCAATGGCTCCTCTAGTCTTCTAAGCCTTATATATGGCCCAATTGACCCAAAAGGCCATCCATATACCCTACTTAACCTCTAGTTATTTTAATTAACTAATTAAGCTACTCAATTAAATAACTTAACCCTTAGATTAAATTTTGGGATGTCATAACACACCTAGCGCACGTGAGGTGCCTGACCCATTTCTCGTTAACAGTGATAAAATTTTTCTTTTATCTTATTTGGTGTTTTTTAATTTCAAATAACACCTGATTTTCAATTTCAAATAATCCCTGACGCCTTTCTTAGCCACCAAAATTGTATTCTATGCATAAGCATAACATTCCCATCATTTTCAATAATCATATCCACTTCTTCCCTAACTTTAGAAGAAAAATATTTGATAGACAATTGAATAATTATACAAATATTAAAATACTCTAACCATCTTTTTGTTTTTTGTTCAATTACATAGATCTCTCCTCTATTTTGAAAAGTATATTTTAGTTGAAATTATTATCATCATTAAATAATATTCTAAAGAGATTATAAAATAAATTCTATCGAAAAAAATATTATCATAATTCTTATTTACTAATTTACCTCTCATCATGCTAAATCTTTAATTTATCTTTTGACAGCTTGTTTGATATTTGTTAGTTATCTATTTAATATTATTAACAAATTTTAAAAAATTAACTTTTACTTAAAAAATAACAACTTGATCAAAAATTTGGGAATTTTTTCAAAAAAATATTTAAATTTTTTAAATTATAAAATTGACATATTTATGTCATATGCTCAAAATTATATCATTTCACAATAATCTAAAATAATTGATATATATATATATATATATATATTCTATAAATACGTTCTTAACCAACGTATGTATATTTAAAAGATGACTTAATAAATATGTTTAAATGTTTAAAATTATCATAACACTAAAAAATTATAATTATAATACTAATCAACTTTATAATATGATAAAAATTAATCAATTTAAAAATATAAATTTTTTTTTACAAAGATCAGTATTTAAATGATTGTTAAGTAATATTTATCATAGGAAGTGGTATTGTGGTCAAGACATACATTCTACACTGTGATTTAATGGTCAACAAATGGATGGACTAAAGTAAGATCTTAAAATTAGAAGACTGATTTGTGTAACATATGTTTTGATTTCAAGAAAAGTCCATATAGGTTTTTAAAATAAAAAATAGATTTGCGTAATTTAGATTAAATGCATGTGATGTCAGTATATTTTACTTTCATAAAAAATAATGAACATGTCCACACGATAGATTTTCATCTTTTACTCAATCAATTCGAAATTATTACTAATAACAAACACACATTCATTAAATATATCTTAATAAATGCAGTCACTATAATAAACAATTAGAACTTTTCAAGTATAAGATTCTTAACAAAATGTTAAAATAAACGTTCAAGAAATATAATTTTAACATGTTGAACTTTTCTTACATAAATTAATTTACTTATTTCTTTTTTCTTACTCTATTCCCCAAAGGTTTTATAATCATTCAGAAAGAGAATATGCTTTTCTTTAAGATATTTAAAAATAAAGGTCAAATTCAATTCGCAAGAAGTTCTTTGAAAACTTCGCTATCTCTCCGCCACTATAGGCGTTCTCATTCTTAGGCTTTATGGTCATCTTCTTTCCAAGTTAGTGGTCATTAATCAATTAAACCTTTGTGACTATTTGTGGCATTAAATTTTGTGATTATAAATAGTAATCTACCAAATTGGTTTCCATCATGTATATATAAACACGAAACTTCGTTTACAAAAAGGAAATAGGAGAAGTTATAACACAAGGGAAACGATCACAATGAATATGAAATTGAGCATTACCATATGTTCCTTGTCCTTATTTCTGGGTTTCGCCATTATAGCTCAAGCAAAAGACTTCGATATCGCTAGCTACGGTGGAAACCCTAACGGGGATATAACTGATGTAATGCTATGTTATGCTCAAATAATTTTACACACACACGACACGGTTCTACCTTTTATGATCTAGGAAAATATTAATGGTGTGTCGATTAATGAAAGTTTGAATTTAGATTTGGATTTGAACCAAATCTCCCATTTAGGTACACAAAAAATTCATGGATTTGGAAATTCATTCCTTGTAATAATTATTATAATTCCTTTGTAATTTTAAATTTCTTTTATACCCTAGTCATTTAAAATTTTAATGACTTCAAATCTCTGGTTCTTTTTTCCTTTTCACTGTTGATACCTCTATAATTTTACTATCTTTTTTCATTTTTCATTATCATCTCTTATCAATTGAAAAACAAGGGTACATTCACCAGTCCCGATTTTCCATTTTCATTTCAAATTTTAACTTATTTCTCTTCATTTGAAAACTTTTAAACTATCCAATCAAAGGATTTTCATGGATTTGAAATTTGATATTTGAAATACAAGATTTTAAATCTAACATCCAAATCCAATTTTCATCCATCCAGCCCTACCTAATGTTTTTGTTCTTTTACTAACGTTTTTGTATATTTGTTATTGAAGGCTCTCACAAAAGCATGGACTGATGCATGTGCAGCCACTGAGGCTAGTAGAGTATTGGTTGGTTCAGGAACTTACAATTTGAATGCCCTTGATATCAAAGGACCATGCCAGGCTCCTTCTATTGAGATACAAGTTGATGGTGTAATTCAAGCACCAGCAGATCCATCTGCACTAAATGGGGCAAGCCAATGGATTAAAATAGGATATGTGAATGCCTTCACATTATCTGGCACAGGAACTTTTGATGGCCAAGGCGCAGCTGCATGGAAATCAAATGATTGTGCACTAAACCCGAAGTGCAACTGGCCTACCATGGTAAATAACATCGTGATAAGCCTCATATTTACATGCATTTCATTGTATAATAAACTTAGTTTATGCAGTCTTTGGTATTAAAAAGAGCCTCTTATACTAAATTGCCTAAGTGTTGGATTTGCACTACATTAGGGTTATTTTGGGCATAAAAGTTGCTTTTTACTTAAATTCCACTTAATACTTTATCTTATGAAATATTTTGGTCTGTGGAATTAGATTTTATTGATTCTTACTACGTTAAAAGTTATTTGAAAAAGACATTAATACTAGAATACTTGTGAAGGGAATGTGCATTGGTCTTTCATTTGCATTTGCAAGTGAGAGTCGCATTGAATCAAATATTCTTCAATGAGCAAGTTTGTTATTCTTTACTATTTGAAATTACTATATTGCGTGGATCTAATGATTGGAAGAGAAGTGTGATTCAAGATCGACATGGTGGATTGTTTTATCACTAGATAGGTGCATTTCACCAATTACACTAACAAGAGAGTTTCCATTAACTTGAACAGAACTTTGGATTCAACTTCATCAACAATTCTTATATCAGAGGCGTAACTTCAAAAGATAGCAAAAACTTCCATGTCAATGTTCTTTCATGCAACAATATCAACTTTGACGGGTTTAACATCAGTGCACCTGGAGATAGCCCAAACACTGATGGAATCCACATTGGAAGATCAAATGGAGTGAGTGTTGCAAACACCAATATCGCTACTGGAGACGATTGTGTCTCATTAGGCGATGGTAACCAAAACGTAACCGTGTTAAATGTGACTTGTGGACCTGGTCACGGCATTAGTGTTGGAAGCCTTGGAAGATATAATAATGAACAACCTGTTTCAAATGTCAATGTCAAAAATTGCACAATATCTAACACGATGAATGGTGTAAGGATCAAGACATGGCCTGGCACTCCAGGAGCTATTACTATCACTGATATGCATTTTGAAGATATTATCATGAACAATGTCCAAAACCCAGTTATGATAGACCAGGAATATTGCCCATCAAATCAATGCGACAAATCGGTATGTTATCCGTACCTCCTTAATTCATTTCACTTCTCTTTATTCTTTATATCATCAATAACATCTAAGACATTTTTTGCTCTACTGTGGTGTGTGCTTTCAATTGATTAGACTCCATCAAAGATAAAGATAAGCAATGTGACTTTCACGAACATCAGCGGCACATCTCAATCTCAAGATGGAGTAGTTCTCATCTGTAGTAGTGGTGTACCATGTGACAACGTTCAACTTAATAACATTAATCTCACATTTAACGGAGCTGCAGTAACTGCAAAATGTTCCAATGTTAAACCAACAATCACAGGAACGGCACCAGCTTGTGCAGCAGCTTAAGAATTGAACGGTGTCATAAACGCTTTGATCCATTTTTGTTGTTTCTCCTTTTGTTTTCTTCTTGAGATTACATAAGTCATTCCCTTACAAAAGGTGGATGGTAGCTAGTTTTTACCCTCTTGCGTTTGAATAAGAGATCCTGTATCATACACGTAATGGTGTCTTTATATAGCATTAAGTTGTCATCTTCATTTAACCATATAATGGAGATTTACTTTATATATTTTTAAAAGAGAGAATTTTTACCCTTGAATTATTTCACAAGATGCTTGGTTGTTAAAAGAGACCTTTTAATTAATAATATTTACAAAAGCTTCATTGATAATAAAGCACAATGATGTTGTGCAATCCATGAGCAGCACTACAATGAGCCCCTTAGAGAAAATTACAAGAAATATTGATGTCTTCTAAAATTTTGCACCCTTTGACCTAACTATAAAGATTTTGGATTCAAAAAAATTTTAATTATTTTTTTTTAATTTTTAATTTTAAAAATGTTGCACCCTATAGCCTAGGGTCCTAACATTATCACTGGTGCAATCTATATAGTCGACTCCACCTAATAAAATATTAGGAATTCTTGTTGTTGTTGTAATGCTATTTCACATAGAGCATTAGGTATCATAATCTATTTATTATCTTGAAGCAATGTCACCCTTTAAATAATAAATATTAATATTGAGTTTTAACTATAGATATTGACTTTATGTTAAAGAGCATTTAGCTCCTAAAGTATCTATGGAAAGAGTCACTAGCACCCTAGAATATATTAATGTTGAATCATAGGTACACATTTTTTATTCATGGCATCGTGTTTTTGGTATCATATATATATTTTGTCAACTATGTATTTATTAATTAAAAAATAGCCCATCGACCCTAAGCAAAGATTCATTAACAAAGTTGTCATAACTTATATATGTCAATTGTGTTGTGACTTACTAATTTGACATTGGTCAATTAAAAAAATCTCTTAGCCTGCACTAATTGTCAACAGCAAAACATGATTACATGTTTTGGTTAAAATTAAAAAGAGGAGGATAAAAATGGATGTCATCTGGCTTCCCAACTAAGCTCTTATCAGGAAAAAGAAAAAGGTTTGTTAGCTCACACTAATTAATTGTAAATTGATGGTGTTATTATAGATTATTGATGCACATGAAAACTAGATGGATACTGCAAGTGTACGGGTCGCAAATATAGTTAATGGCAAATCAAGATCAATCTCATAGAGAATTAAATAAATTTACAAAGGGGCATTAAATTCCCAATTTTATTTAAGTTAAGGAAGCAAATTATTGTGGTGAGTGATTCAAATGAAAATGTAAAGTGAAAAACTAAGATTTTGAAGCACTTTAAAGTCAAAAAATAATTAAGAAAGCATCCTAGAGTTTTGATCCCACATTTGCTCCATTGTACTTAACTTACCAATTAAATTGATTTTAATTTCAATTTTAAGGGTTGGGACACTAGGATTAATATTGAATATTTTTTGATTATCCAAAATCCTACTTAATTCTAACACAACAATTTCTTGCCAAAATTAGATTAAGAGTATTAAGTTCAAATCCCTTCTAACCACTTAGGTCTTTTAGATACATTCATATCCTAGAGGCAAATTAACTATAATTAATTCTAATCATTCAATTCCAATGGTCCAAATAAAAGTTCCTTTCTCAAGCTCATTTTATTCCTCCAAATTATCACTCAATGGTAGCCAAACATCAAGCAACACAAAGCTAAACTAGAATTAAAACATAAAACATCCATTAGTCATAGAATAATCACACTACTACAAAAATGGAATTTCATAACATGTATTTTATAACAACTAAAAGTGAAACATCACTAAAATGAAAGTTGAAGTACATTAGGTAGCATTTCTTTAATGAAATGCTATCACTTATCAATTATTTTTTATGTACAATTTTCTTAAAAAAATAAGAGGTGGCATTTCCTTCATGAAATGTCACAATTTATTGTTACTAAACAATTTTGTGACATTTCAAAAAGAAATGGCACCGAATAATTATGATAATATTACAAAAAATAATTTTATTTATTATGCTTATTATAATTATTATTATTATATTTATTAATACTGTTGTTATACTTTTATTTTTATTTTTATTATTGATATAACTATTTTTATTTATTAATAATCTAAAAATTATATTTAATTAAGAATTATTTCTACTGTAACTATAATAATTATTAAAATATTACTATTAATATTAGTACCAATTATAGTATAAATTAAGTACTTAACTAGTAATCATTATTAATATATTACAATAAATTAAAACTAAAAATATAATATTTTTTCATAAATAATTTATTTAATTAATCTCAAATGGCATTTTTTTTACTTTAGAAAATGCCATCTAATAATTTTCATTTATTTTATTTAAAGAAATATTATTTTTAATAGTTATTTTATAATAAATATAATATTTATATAATATTTTATTTAATTAATCTTAAGTGCATTTCTGCAAGAAACACCACCTAATGTTATTCATTTAATTTATAAAAAGTATATTTCAAATAATTATTTTGTCATCAATATAATATTTAATAAATATTTTATTTAAATAATTTTATGTGGTGTTTGCTCACAGGAAGCGCACAAAAAGGTTTTAATTTACTTTTATTTGACAGTTAATTATTTTTTTAAAATATGTTTTTCCAATTATTATTTTATAATAAATAATAAATATTGTATTTAATTAATCTTAGGTGGGTTTTCTCCATGGTTTTTATTTATTTTTATTTAATAACTTTGTATTTTAGAATTCATTTTTGATAAATATTTTATATTAAATATAATATTTAATAAATTTTAGGTGGCGTTTTCTTCTTGAGAAAAAGCTGCATAATAGTCTTTATTTTATATAAACATATATTCTGTCTAATATTTATTTTATCATAAATATAATAGTTAATAAATATTTTATTGAATTAAAATGAGGTGGCGTTTGCTGTGACCAAATGCCACCTAATAGATTTCAATAATTTTATATAAAAATATATCATAGGTGGCGTTTCTTGTAAGGAAACTCTACCTAAAGGTTTTCATTTATTTTATATAAAAATGCATATTTTTAATAAATATTTTATAATAAATATAATATTTAATAAATATTTTATTTAATTAAATTTAGATGGAAAAAATGCCACCTAAGTGTTTTAATTTATTTTTATTTGATAGTTAATTATTTTATTTTACAAGAGAGTTGGTGTATTTAGGTGATGAAAACACCACCTCTCTCTTACAGATTAACTTTCATTTGAATTAATATTATTTTTAAATGTATATCTTAAATATTTTCTATCAAATATTAAAAATTAAAAAATTATTTGAATAAGAGATGTGGCATTTTTAGGTGATGGAAATGCCACCTTTATCTTCTAAATTAAATTATTTATCAATGAATATTATTTTTAAAATATTTATATATGTTAAATATTATTTTTTAAATATTAAATATTAAAAACATATTTAAATGAGGAATGTGGCATTTACAGGTGATGAAAATGCCACATCTCTCTTCTTAATTAAATTATTTATTAATTAATATTATTTCTAAAATATTTATATATATATATATAATATTATTTATCAAATATTGAATACTAAAAAATTATTTAAATTAAGAGGGTGGTGTTTTTAGTGATAGCAATGCCACCTTTATCTTATAAATTAAATTTTTATTCATTAATTTATTTTTAAAATATATAATTTTTAAGTATTAGTTATTAAATATTAATTATTAAAAAATTATTTAAATGAGGGAGATGGCATTTCTAGGTGATGAAAACACCATCTCTCTCTTTATAATTAATTTTTCAATTAATTATTTTAATTTTAAAAAATTAGAGAGGTGGCATTTCCATCGCTATGATTTTTTAATTACTTTTAAAAATTAGAGATAATTTTTAAATCTTCTTGAAATTTTCAAACCCTAATCTCTTTTTCTTGATCATTCTCTCCATCCAATCGCTTGTTCTTGCAACCCACGAGTTAACTACTTTCTAATTCTTGAAGTTGCTCTTGCTGTCTTTTCTAGTTGAGGTCGCTCGTATAAGTACATTAATAATATGTTTTTTTTTTATTTTTCTTACCTTTTATCTACCTACCCATATATATGTTTATTTGGATCTTTACAATTATGCTTTTATTTCTGTTTAGTTGATAATTTCTCTTTTCACTCTTGAAGGTTTGTTCTTTTAATTGCTAACACGCATATCTGTTTGTGAACCAATTCTCTAACTATAAAGTTTTATTGAGATCTAGGGAATAGACAGTAAGATCTTTAATCTTCATACTTTCAATGATAAATGGCTTAGTTTTGTCAAGTTTTGGACTTTTAAGAAAGTAGTGATGATAATCTCTATTAATCATTGAGGAAAAAACTTATTTTTAATTTAGTATTTGCCTACTTTTTCTAGTATGTATCTATTCAATATTGAAGGACAGCCAAAAGTTGTGTGGCCAATGATAGCTTGTCATTTTTTTCATATTTTTGTATAAATTGTTTTAGTTATTTTATATTTAATCTCTGTTAAACATTAGTCATAATTTTTTTAAATTTTTTATTTATTTATTTTTGTTGTAGGTATTGTTTTTTACAACTATATTGCAAAAATTACTAATAAACCTTATTATATCTCTTTGCTAAGATTTAATTTATGTTTTTTCTTTATCCTTGATTTTTTATGACCTTACTAAATTTATCGAAGTTTTGTATAGTATGAAGTTAATTTTTTTTTTGTCAGTGGTATCAATAAAGTTTATTGTATAAATTAATTGTATAATTACTAAAAAAATTATGCATATAAATTGATGGATATATTAAGAGATCACACACAAAGATATTAAAAAGTGGTGCTTTCTAATTTAAAAAAAAAAGGAGATAGGTGGTATTTTATTTTATTTTTTAAAATGAGTAGAAACGCCACCTCTCTTTTCCTTTATTGTTCAAAAGTAAGTATGTTGCTAGCTTCTTGTGGCATTTTATTAATTAATGAAATACCATCTAAGATCTAAGATAGCATGAAATCTTATAACATTTTATAAATGCCACGAAATAAAAATTTTAAACTCCACCAACGCCCATTTATATAGTAGTGTCAGTAAATTAAAATACAACTGGAGAAAATGAGTTCATAGGACTCTATAGTATCAAGTTTCAGCCACACAAAGCTAAATACAATCCCCAA